CTAGGCGCCTTACACTGAGCGCACACCGAGCAGGAGGAGACATAAACCCTCACGTCCTTAGCCAAAGTTGGCCACCAGTATTTAACACTAAGGCAGTGCACTGTCCGGCCAATACCTGGATGTCCAGAGGAGGGTGACGTATGAGCCCAATAAATGAGCCGATCACGGACCTCGAGCGGCACGTACGTCCGACCCACTGGACACTCTGGGGGAGTAGGGTCGGTGCGTAACGCCCGCTCAATTTCCGCATCGACCTCCCATACCACCGGTGCCACCAGACAAGACTCCGGCAGTATGGGCGTGGGCTAAATGGACCTCTCCTCTGTGTCATACCGCCGGGACAGGGCATCTGCCTTACCGTTCTGGGACCCTGGGATGTGCGTGATCTTGAAAATGAACCGGGTCAGGAACATGTTCCACCTAGCCAGACGAGGGTTTAATCTCCTAGCTGCCCGGATGTACTCCAGGTTACGATGGTCGGTCAGAATGAGAAAAGGGTGTTGAGCCCCCTCAAGCCAATGCCTCCACACCTTGAGGGCTTGAACCACGGCTAACAGCTCCCTGTCCCCTACGTCATAATTACGCTCCGCCGGGCTGAGCTTCTTAGAATAAAAAGCGTAGGGACGGAGCTTAGGTGGCGTGCCTGAGCGTTGAGACAGTACTGCCCCAATACCGGCCTCTGACGCATCCACCTCTACCTGGAACGCTAAAGTGGGGTCCGGGTGCGCCAGCACCGGAGCCGAAGTGAACAGGTCCTTAAGTTTACGAAACACCCTGTCCGCTTCAGCCGACCACTGCAAACGCACCGGGCCCCCCTTCAGCAGGGACGTAATGGGAGCTGCCACCTGTCCAAAACCCCGGATAAACCTCCGGTAGTAATTGGCAAAACCCCAACACTGCTGCACCTCTTTAACAGTGGTTGGGGTTTGCCAGTTACGCACGGCTGACACCCGGTCAATCTCCATCTTCACCCCTGACGCGGACAACCGATGACCCAAGAAGGAGATGGACTCCTGGAAAAACAGACATTTCTCTGCCTTGACATACAAGTCATGCTCCAACAGCCTACCCAACACTCGGCGCACCAGGGCTACATGCTCGGCTTGTGTAGCAGAGTACACTAGGATGTCGTCAATGTACACTACCAATCCCTGCCCATGCAGGTCCCAGAAGATCTCGTCTACGAATGATTGGAAGACTGAAGGAGCATTCATTAACCCGTATGGCATGACAAGATACTCATAATGACCTGAGGTGGTACTAAATGCCGTCTTCCATTCATCTCCCTCCCTAATGCGCACCAAGTTATAAGCGCTCCTGAGATCCAGTTTTGTGAAGAAACGCGCTCCGCGTAATGATTCAGTCATACTCGCAATCAGAGGTAGAGGGTAACTGTATTTCACAGTGATCTGATTGAGACTACAATAATCAATACACGGGCGCAAACCTCCATCCTTCTTCTTCACAAAAAAGAAACTCGAGGACGCAGGGGAAGTGGAGGACCGTATGTATCCCTGTCTCAGGGACTCAGCTATGTAGGTTTCCATAGCCGCCGTCTCCTCTCGAGACAGAGGATACACATGGCTCCGCGGAAGTGCCGCACCTGTCTGGAGGTTTATCGCACAATCTCCCTGTCTATGAGGTGGCAATCGCGTCGCCCTCGTCTTGCTGAACACGAGTGCCAAATCCTCATACTCAGGGGGAATGTGCATTGCGGGCACTTGGTTCGGACTCTCCACCGTGGTCGCCCCAACGGAAACACCTAAACATCGCCCAACACACTGGCCAGACCATTCCTTGAGAGCCCTCTGTTGCCACGAAATGGTGGGGTCATGGGTGATTAACCAAGGAAGCCCCAGCACCACGGGATACGCAGGAGAGTCAATGAGGTACAACTGAATAATCTCCTCATGACCCCCCTGCGTCTTCATCTTTAGTGGCGCTGTGACCTCCCTAATCAACCCAGATCCCAATGGGCGGCTATCTAGGGCATGGACAGGAAAGGGTGCATCAACGGGCAGGAGGGGAATCCCTAACTTAGAGCAACATTTCCGATCAATAAAGTTCCCAGCTGCGCCTGAATCGACTAGCGCCTTATGCTGGGAATGAGATGCAACCTGAGGAAATACCACAGGTATACACAACTGAACAACAGAGAGCTCTGGGTGAGTGGGGCGCCTACTCACCTGAAATGACTCCCCAGTGCGCGACCTGTTGCCTCGATTCCTTGGAGACCCTCCCCAGCACCTAGCCGCAGTGTGTCCTCCACGGCCACAGCTGGTGCAGGGGACGGCCCCCCTCGGGTTCTCTCTCCTTCTTTCTCTAGCGCCAGCACCCCCGAGCTCCATTGCGCTCGGCTCGGAGGTGCTGGGGGATGGAATGGACGGCCCCATCTCGGGACGTCCGCGGGTGGCCAGCATGGTATCCAATCGGATGGACATGTCCACTAGCTGGTCGAAGGACAGATTGGTGTCCCTGCAGGCCAGCTCTCGACGAACGTCCTCACGCAGGCTACACCGATAGTGATCGATGAGGGCCCTCTCATTCCACCCCGCATCCGCCGCTAGAGTCCGGAAATCCAGGGCGAACTCCTGTGCGCTCCTCTTCCCCTGTCGGAGGTGGAACAGACGCTCCCCCTCCGCTTTACCCTCAGGAGGGTGATCGAAAACTGCCCTGAAGCGGCGGGAGAAGTCCGCGTAGCTGGTGGTGGTGGTGTCCATTCCCCTCCATTCGGCGTTGGCCCACTCCAACGCCTTGCCGGAGAGACAGGAGATGAGGGCGGAAACGCTCTCGTATCCCGAGGGCGCCGGGTGTATGGTGGCCAGGTAGAGTTCCACCTGAAGGAGGAACCCCTGACACCCGGCTGCGGTGCCATCATACGCCCTCGGGAGCGAGAGCCGAATCCCACTGGATTGCTGGTCTGGTGGGGCTGGCCGATGGTGGTGGTAATGTAGGAGGAGGTGTGGGCACGCCTCCCCTTTCCCATCGGCGCAGGGTGTTCATAGCCTCCTGCATGGCGGAGCCGAGTTGCTGGATCATGGCCTCCTGGCAGCTGACCCGATCCTCCAGCGACTCGGTCGCCGCCGCTGCTCCTGCTGACTCCATTGATGGTGTGTCGTTCTGTCAGGGGCTGATGTGGATGTGGTGTTGGAGTCAGGCGCAGGACACAGAAGCTTAGTCGATCCGACTTTTAATAGTCACAGGAGCAAAGAACAATCCATACAGGCCTCATAAAACAGGAGACGAGCGAATACGCAAAACAGTGCGTAAAGTGCAACAGCACTAACACTAAGCAAACAAAAACAATCTACACCAAACGACAGGCGTACAACGACACACAACTACAAACAAAACCAAAGGAAACTTATAGGTGACATAATCAAGACGTGATAAGGAACAGGTGCACTAATCAGACAAAACCAAACAAACATAGATAACATCAAACGGTGGCAGCTAGTACTCCGGGGACGACGAACGCCGAAGCCTGCCCGAACAAGGAGGAGGAGCAGCCTCGGCGGAATCCGTGACAGCTGTTGATGACTTTGCAAATGCTATTTAGGCCTAAATAGCATCATTGATGATTGATAAAGTATGGTCACATTTAATTTGCTCTGTTAAACCTACCCTTTGAAATGACTTCGATAGTGAATCTATTTAGTTTTTAAGTGGAAATTGCTCAACAATTATTCTCACGATAGCACATTGCTAATAGTCAGTGACAAATATCATAGCTAAGCAGGGCTGTCCTTGGTTTCTTCTGATAGTGGATATAACGTTGAAAATCTGACGTTGTTTTAATGGTACAAATTCAACATATTTTAAACAAGGTTTATGATGAAGTTTAGTTACCATGATGACATAATCCTGTGGTTGAAATTTCACCCTCAAAACAATAGTTTTACGTAGATGACTTCTTTTCAAATCCAATGTATATTCCACATCACAATACGTTGACAAATTACGTTGAAACAACGTTGATTCAACCAGTTTGTGCCATGGGGCACTGCAGTCTCTACTGTACATCCATATTGTGCATCAAACACTGCTATAGTGGGCTGGTGAAAGAGGATACATGTGTGTGCCTGTCGAGGAAAGGCTTGTTCTTTTGTCCGTTTTTTCACAGGGCGATGACTCTGAAGTGTGCACCCTCCCCCATTACTACACATTCCTCTTGAGTACATAACCATCCATCCCCTACACACACACCGCTCCCCATCCCCCAGTTCCCAGACAGCATACAGTCAGTTTAGCACACACTCAAGTGTAGTAAAATTGAAAAAGCTGGGAATGCTGACTATTCAAATATGACCTAAAACATAAACACACCATATAATGTACATATTTCACCCAATTTACATATTTACATGTGTATTCAGATTCATTATGCATGCTAGACATTGCACATAAATAATGCAACAATTTGACTACTACCCTAACATACCAGCATTATGTTGTTGTCTGTAATGGGGATTGGGGCTGATGTTGCTCCACAGCTCAGAGAGATGCAGTATTGGGTGTCAGGGAGGCCTAATTCTTTGAGCATTCATTGGAGCTTAGGCCGTAACTCAATCTGCCCCCTCCACCGCGCCGGCTTGCCAACCACGAAAGGGAGGCGAAATGTGGCAAGTCACCGTGGAAATGCGTCAGGAGCTCTAAAAGCTACTGATGTGCGGTAGCAAAAGCGGTCTCCCGGTAGACTGTTTGAAATCACCGGAGGGTTTTAATGTTCTGTTGTTATCGGTGTGCGTGGGACGATCACTGTCAATGTCAATTTGGCTGTGGTGCATGTCAATTTGGCTGTGGTGCTCGTTGTAATGAAACCTGTGTGTGTGTGTGTGTGTGTGTGTGTGTGTGTGTGTGTGCGTGTGTGCGTGCGTGCGTGCGTGCGTGCGTACGTGCGTGCGTGCGTGCGTGTGTCATGTTTCTAGGATACGGCAGGGCAGGAGAGGTACAGGACTATCACCACCGCTTACTACCGCGGTGCCATGGGCTTCATCCTCATGTATGACATCACCAATGAGGAGTCCTTTAACGCTGTGCAGGACTGGTAAGTGATTGCTCAGGAATGTGGTGTGGTCATGTGACCATATGGCAAATAGTAGTACAACAGTGGACAAAAATAGACCAGTGTTCCTTGATACAGTACAGGCCTGACTGGAGGAGGTCCAAATGGCGCCAAAGGTTTGTTGACCTTTTCTTCAGAAAGACTGAAGAAGTGATAAGAATTTGGTGACCTTTTCTAAATAAAGACCACTGGACTTGAGACACATACACTGTCTAAACAGGTAACTGCCCAAATAAAGGAAACACTTGAGTAAATGAGGGATACAAAGTATATTGAAAGCAGGTGCTTCCACACAGGTGTGGTTCCTGAGTTAATAAAGCAATTGTATAAAAATGCTGGGCAGACCATTATTTTGGCCATTGTTTTGGCTACCATGGCTATGCCCCCATAGGATGACAATGCCCCCATCCACAGGGCACGAGTGGTCACTGAACAGTTTCATGAGCATGAAAACAATATCTAAGCCATATGCCTAGGCCGTCTCATTCACCAGATCTCAACCCAACTGAACATTTATGGGAGAGTCTAGAGTGGCGCCTGAGACAGCGTTTTCCACCACCATCAACAAAACGCAAAATTATGGAATTTCTCGTGGAAGAATGGTGTCGCATGCCTCCAACAGTGTTCCAGACACTTGTAGAATCTATGCCAAGGTGCATTGAAGCTGTTCTGGCTCGTGGTGGCCCAACACCCCCTAGACACTATGTTGGTGTTTCCTTTATTTTTTGCAGTTAACTGTATAGTTCTAGTTAGTTTGAGATTCAGGATTGTGACAGGGACCATGTTGACACCAAACAGCATTTTCCACTCCTAATCACTGTCCTCAATCACTAACCAATGAAATTACACTAACATGCTGATTACACTGGCCACGCGCACCACATGAAACATTCATGGACATTTAGCTAGCTAGTTGTTGCTAACTAGTTTTACCTGGGAGATGAACATTGAGTTGTTATTTTACCAGACATGCATATGGTCCTCTTTTTAGCTGGTTCTTTGTATACTGAACAAAAATATAAACGCAACATGCAACAATTTCAACGATTTTACTGAGTTACAGTTCATATAAGGAAATCAGTCAATTGAAATAAATTCATTAGGCCCTAATCTGTGGATTTCACATGACTGGGCAGGGGTGCATAGGCCCACCCACTGGGGAGCCAGGCCCAGCCAATCAGAATTAGTTTTTTCCACAAAAGGGCTTTATTACAGACAGAAATACTCCTCAGTTTCATCAGCTGTCCGGGTGGCTGGCCTCAGATGATCCCGCAGGTGAAGAAGCTGGATGTGGAGGTCCTGGGCTGGCATGGTTACACGTGGTCTGCGGTTGTGAGGCTGGTTGGACATACTGCCAAATTCTCTAAAACAACGTTGGAGGCGGATTATGGTAGAGACATTAATATTCAATGTTCTGACAACAACTCTGGTGGACATTCCTGCAATCAGCATGCCAACTGCACGCTCCCTCAAAACTTGAGACATCTGTGGCATTATGTTATGTGACAAAACTGCATATTTTAGAGTGGCCTTTTATTGTCCCTAGCACAAGGTGCACCTCTGTAATGATCTTGCAGTTTAATCAGCTTCTTGATATGTCACACCTGTCAGGTGGATGGATTATCGTGGCAAAGGAGAAATGCTCACTAACAGGGATGTAAACAAATGTGTGCGCAAAAGTAGAGGGAAATAAGCTTTTTGTGCGTATGGAACATTTCTGGGATGTTATATTTCAGCTCATGAAACGTGGGTCCAACACTTTACATGTTGCGTTTATATTTTTGTTCAGTATTGAATTTTGACCCGGAGTGATACAGAATCGTGTGTTTCTCTACTCCGACGATTAATCCACAGGTAAAAAGGGAAACCTAGTTCGTTTTTAGTTATCTTTAATTAATCTCTCCTCGTTTGTCTTTCAAGCGTATAAGTGGGTTTGTATCTTCCTGATATCCAATAAGGAGGGGACTTGCAGAGCGTGGAGCGTCTCAAATAAATCCAAGTTCTATTTAACGCTTGGCTAAGCAGACACTCATTCACGTGGGTGAAATGATTAAATAACATGTATGTGTACATTTATTTTGCAATGCTTGCGCACACAATGTGGCCGGTGAAGTTTGTGTGTAACCAAATACTATTACTCACAATAACCCCAAATAAACGTTGGATCTTATCGCAAGCTGCAGGATTCCAAACTCATTTTAGATAACCCTTGAATGTTGGATAAGTGCAGTGAAAATGTCACCTAAGCTTTCTATGGCTCTTCAGGGGACCATATTTCTGCAGTCTGCACACTGCAATCTATGCTTTTAATAAGAGTGGTGTATTGAAACAATGTTTCGACCCTCAGATCATCATTGTGTCTCTTTGACCTCAAGCACCTGCTCAAAACCACTGGATGTGTGTGTGTAATCTTTTCCTATACTGAACCTTTCTGTATGGCGTCCATAGGTCGACCCAGATTAAGACGTACTCGTGGGACAACGCCCAGGTCCTGCTGGTAGGCAACAAGTGTGACATGGAGGACGAGAGGGTGGTGGCAGGAGACAGGGGCAGGCAGCTTTCTGAACACCTGGGTGAGTTCAAGTCACACAACACTAACTCACAGTGCCCACCATAACTACATGAACTATACAATTCAATGATACTGGTGATGTTAATGGTACTTCTTATCTGATGATTTGATTTTATCATCTGAGTTGTCAGCTCAACAATAACATGTATAATTTGGTTGCAATCGCTTCATAGAAGTTCTTATCCAGAGTGAATGTGATCACGAGGCGGAACAGCAGCATAAGCAAATAATAAAATAATTGTGCAAATTGGCTGTTGAACACAGATCCCACCACTACCACCGAAAATCATACAGGATTGACAAAACACAAAGTTTGCTCACATTAGCTTCAGAAGCCAATGGGCAAGATTACTGATCACGTATGGCTAGTTTTGCAAACTACTGCCACCACATTTAAATCCAATACCATTCTGACACCCTGTTCCAGGGTTCGAGTTCTTTGAGGCCAGTGCCAAGGACAACATCAATGTGAAACAGACATTCGAGCGGCTGGTGGACATAATCTGCGAAAAGATGTCTGAGAGCTTGGATGCCGCCGACCCAGCAGTTACAGGGGCTAAACAGGGGCCCCAGCTCACCGAGCAGCCCGCACCCCCCCACCAGGACTGTGCATGCTAAAGCTGAGCGACCCCCCCCCCCACCCCATCCCACCATCAACCCATCCTCAGGTCCCCTTACAACCCCACCTCACCCTCACAACCCCCTACCCCCCGAATCAATGAATCACTCCATATGGGTGAATAGGTGATGTTCACTCTGTTTCTCCCATGATCCTCGTGTCCTCTGCTCCCTTTACTCGGGTCCTCACTGTGGTCTTAAATTCTGAACTTGAAGGTCTCTATCCTGTCTGCCCCAAATCTTCATCATTGTTTACCTTTTTTTCTCAGATGAATGGTTTTCTGATATAAGCCTTTGTTAGAGACTGATGAAATTACATATTAAAGTATGTGTTGTCATAAACAGGTCAATACTTTGGAAATAGAGGGTTGATATTGAAGCCTAGTGCATATATACTGGTCTAAGTCCCCTGTCTCTGTGTGAAATATAAGCAAACATATATTGGATCGCATCAGTCACTGGTATAGCATCATTCCAGTCTCATATTTTTGTCCAATCAGCCTCTTTTGTCTTTAACTTACTTTTTGTATACTGGTACCTCTTTCTTTTTTAAAGCTTTTCGCGTATAAAAAAAAAATGTAAGGAAAATACAAACAAATTATAGATAGGTAAAAAGAAACAGAAACACTTATTTACATATGTTTGGTTTAAATGTGTATGTAAATAATGTGCAGTATATAATATCTAAAGGTATACATTTAAAAAAATAGATTTTTTTTAAAGCATAAAGAAAAGATATATGAAGATATATGCAATATGAGAGATCAATGTTGTAGACTTTCTCTGAATCAATTTATTTATGGTTTCATTAATATCTCATTGTCATCCGCTATGCCCATTTAGACTAAACTTCTTTGCTCCTACTACCGCTCTCAGGTACTTGCAAATACACTCATTAAGAGCTGTTAAGATGAATGCTAGTTTGCATGGAAAGAGGCAGAAGCCATGGAACCAGAGCACAGCTGAAGTATATCAGCATTGCTCACCTTTTACATCCGTTTCAATTATCTTATTTTGTATTTTTGTGAGAAATAATTAATTACAATGTGCATGTTATATCAGAGGCAATACTTGGCTGCTTATGACTTGAAATAGGATACATGAGACTGCATAAGTGAGATTAAACAAACAATAACATAGGTACTTTTTTAAATGTTTTGTTCAGTTTTGGCGAAGGCTATTTTTGGACCACAGCTTGTAAGTACGTAAAGGTAGATATGACGTAGGTGCACAAAGTAAACAGTGTCATTTTCCGCAACAACTTCAAGAGCGATGCTAAACTTCTCTACCATGCTCAAACAGTGTGACGCGAACCCATACGCAGACACTGTGTGACTGTGTGGGAGTGAAGTCTGGTATCTCACTCATCGCAATATCTGCGGTGCTGCTCTTGGCAATATCATTTAGCTGAGTCTACCTTTAATGCACTCAAGCCTAAGCTTATGCAACAAAGAGTTTATGGGTTTGTAGTGAGTGTGTGATTGGAACAATCTGCAGTAAAATGTGTGTAAAAAGTAAACCCTAACCCTTATGAGACTGTTTGAGCGCAATTTAGTCAACCGTTTCATTTAGGAACAAAAAACCTGAATGACCTTTTGCCTCTTGTTTTTGAATTGATATTCAGTCCAAGGTCTCAATCCAGGCAAATTTTCATTCAAATAAGAGAATATATTATTACTAATTGTAAGTGATTGAAACCACTATCTCCCTTAAGCGTTTCGTGATGTTTACGAGTCAACTTTTCTATGTTGTTGACAAATGGCTGTCTTTACTAGTGAGTGAATGAGTGCGAAACAGTCATGCAAATAGATCAAAGTCATTCAAGCATCCTCAATTGATGAAAAGGTAAAATGTATACTTCACTGAGTCGCACCAACGTTTTGATGTGGGACGATAATGATAATGTGTAACAATAATATTAGAATAATACTACTGTAGTAACAATAACAACAATATTTGATCATCTTGAACTTGAGTACCTTGCAATCCAGCATACATTTTCAACATTATTTTGCTCTACTATATTCTGGCTGTGAGTCTGCCATCTCAGTAGTATCCAGAGATCCCCCCTTTGTAAACTGTCCTCCTCCTCTCCAACACGGTCTTCCTTTCTATGAAATAAACTGTAAATGCATTTTAGTCATATGTTTCATGTGTGGATTGTGTGTTGTATTGACTCAGGCTTGCAAAAAATGACAAAATCTGAAACTTGTATTTTATCTGCATTTGTTCTAGGTCTGCTTGTGAATGTGTCACTTTCTTTAATGAAAAGCAATATGCAGTACAACTGAACACCATTTCAAACATAGGTGTCGGGTAAGTTTGTCAATGCTGCTATTTATAGGTAGTATAGAACTGAATCCGGAAAGGATTGTCCGGAAAGGGAATAATAATGTTGAACTGATTTGTTAGGTTACATACAACAAAGTTGTTACTGTCAAAAAACATTTACACAAATATACTGGTGGTTTTAAAACTCTTGTACACTTGGTGGATTTGTAGTGAGAAATGTTGTTAGATTCTTGGATGGCACCAAAGCTTGGGAGAAAAAGAAACATTTGACTTGAGTGTAAATTTAGAGGAGTATTATAAGAGTATTTTTGAGCTTATGTTTTTATTACATTGCTGTGCTACGAAGGCAACCTCATGTTTCAAGGCATCCAATAAGGTTTGTGCTGTCAGGAAGGTATTGCAATTTTTCAAAAAGACCGAAAGCGTTGCTTGTTTTTTAAATTTTATTTTTATTGTGCATCCACCGAATACTGTTCTGCAAAGTACTGTTGACTTGGTTTACATAGATTTTTACTTTGTATTTCTATTATGGGAATAGAACAACTAATGTTATAACAATAAGGGAATATGGTGTCAAAATGTTAAATTGTGAACATTACCAAATCTGCTGTACATGTTGTGGAATTAAAAGTTTGTGCTGTTACAATATTGCAGTTTTCCTCATTGATGTATGTTCACCACTACCATTAAGTAGTGTGCATCTCACATAAAAATACAGAACACACCCACTCACTCAGTGTCACACACACACACACACACACACACACAGCAGTTGCACCATCTCATTGGGCTCGTAACATTGCTTCCAGGAGCCTGCCACCCCCTGAAACATCACATCTTTTATAACCCTGGTCTCTGATGCTGCAAATTCAAAGCAAGCTGGGACCATCTGTTATTCACTGTCTCATAGGTGCCTACACTACGGTATCAATAGAGTGGTCTCTGAAACCATCTGTTTCATAGGTGTCTGGCTGTCTACACTATGGTGTTTATACCTGAGATGACCTTGTCATAAAATTATTCATTAATCATTATTACAGGCTTGATTTACATTGGGGAAAAAACAACACCAATAGATCGACTGTGCTACCACAACTTGGTCCTATGCAAACAGTTTTATACTGTACAAAGTAACTAAAAGTAGTCTTCATTTTTGTTTTGGACTAAATTATCATACGTAGACCTACCAGTTAGCCTGCTAAGGCAGCATAGCCTGCACTCAATTGAACAAAAAAAATGGTGTTGATACAACTAATTAGATTACATTTCCTATACTCAATCAAGACATGAACCTCATCTACAGCACAGCAGTCTAATTTCTGCAATAGGCTTATCGTATTACACCAGCAGAGGGCACAACACACCACCATGTTGATACACAATTCACTGACGATATCACAGCAAACTGACTTCCTGCGAGGAATGGATACGTTTGTATCCAACATGTTGATGCTAAATGCTACAATGTCACGATGGAATCCATTCTCTGGACGTGATGCCAGAGTTAGGAACATCAAAGCATGTTATTAAAAGATTTACACTACTGAGGCCTAATAATGTTGGCTAATATGCAAACTTTTAAAATTCACATAAATACGTGGAAAAGTGTCCCATGGGCATATTGTACTAAAAGGTGTATTTATTAATATAAAATAATATGCTACACAGCTTACATATGTAGGTGCATGGTTAGATTTTAATGATGGGTTGGACCCAAGTGTTAATTTATTGGATTTCCCAAATATGTATTGAGCAATTTCCTTGTGTGCCCCACCCAATAATTTAGCCTATTGTACAAACGCAACTAGTATAAAGGCCTACTGTCGCTTGTGAAGACATTGTGTATAGGATATTGCTTTGTTGCATCTAAATGAATCAGAAAACTGAACCAACAGACAGCAAAACATGTGCCTTGTATTATCAAGCAAGGTTTATTTGATAACAGAATCCAAGTAAAAATAGGAATGTGAAGGGGAAATATTCAGTGCAACAAAAAGGTGATAACAGCTTCACATTAATAAGAAAACACTGAAATAAGACACTGGAGCATTGAATATAAAATGTACAAGTGCTTGCTTGTAAACGTTAAAAGCGATAAGAAATGACGTGCGCCCAATGACACCCTCTTAGGTAACATTCGAGTTTGTCAATAAACATGCAAATATTTTTTTCTTCAGTATAAGGCTATGATATAGTAATACAATGATGATAAACTGGTTTGATCCAGTCTTACACCCATGAGAAATAATTTGTAAACAAAAATGTACATTAGTGAAGTTCTTTCAGTCTGTAAAGTCGATGGCTCCACGTGCATAATGGTGATATTTGAGAGCCAACAAGAGAACAGATATAGAGCTTATTTATGCTGGTTGACCAATGTCGTCCTGCGATTAGTACACTTGAACTTGATGTGGCAACAATTGGCATCCGCTGTTCACATGATTCAAAACATTTTGTTTTAGCTGAGCCACTTGCTCCCGGAGTACACTTGCCGTTGAGGCCAGATCAGTGTTTTGAGTTTTTAGGTTATTCACTTTGTCTTCGAGTCTGGAGATCCTCTCCAGTTTCCTCTTTCGGCACTTGGACGCAGCAATTCTATTCCGCAGCTTTTTCCTCTCGGCTTTAATGAGTTCCTGTGTGTCCATGTTGATAGGCGACAGTGGTGGACTGTCGCCGAAGCTGTGCATGTCAGGGACTGTCTGCGGCTCATCCTTCAAGGATTGCAGCCGGGAATGTGCTTGTTGCTGCTGTGTGCCACCTAAATGGTGAGAGGGAGGAGGTGGGAAGGGTACAGTGTCTGTGGAGTAATTGACAGTGGTGCCCAAAGGACCATTACCATAACTGTTCAAGTTCGTATAGACTGGTAAGTCCATGTGTACAGTGACAGGAGCCACGTTGGTACTTAGGTCGAGACTGTTCGCTTGAGCGCACGTCCCCCCGTTCAGCTGGTTCTGTTTGTGTAAGTCCTCCAGAGCCTTTACGAATCCCTCGGCAAACTCCTGTTCGTCAGTTACTGACTTCGGGTAGAGGAACTGAGAGGTTGGTGTTGTTACGACCATTCCGTTGGACTGAATGAGGAGTCTCTCCAGCTCCGGGGAGGCCAGTTTCAGCAGCCCAAGGTCTGGGGAGTTGAGAATGCTCTCGGCGTCGCGGAGATAGGGCTTTAGATTAGTGGCATCTACTAGGTTTAAATTCATGTCCTTCTTCATCATATTTCGGTAAAAGACAAAATCTTAGATGACAGCAGCTGTACAAATTCAGCAGAGCCTTACGACAGAAAGAGGGGTTCCCATAACCTCTCAGTTGCTGATGAGGAAACGATGCGTAATTTACATAACATTAAATCAAATGCTCTTTTAAAGTTGCCCTACCCCTTCTCCAAGTTCGGTGTATTAATCGTCTTTTGCTTCAAAAATGGTGTAGTTTGTTTTTCCTTATTAATAAACAATTGATAAGAAACAGTTTACGGTTAATCTCCCGACTAGAGAGGGATATAAATTCCTATGCGTGCGCTCGCATGCTGCCGCAACCTTTTCTATGCTCATAAATTCCATTATGTCACTTCAGAGTGCGCAGATTGGACAGAAATCACGTTTTTTCCGTATTTTATTTGAATAAGGGGACGTACTAGCCCTATTGCCATGGAGAAGGCGGGTAAACTGCAAACAGTGCGGTGCATTGTGGTTTGATGTCATAGAAAATCTTGGATGGAGGCGTGGGGGTTGGTCAAGGCTTGTTTTCTTCCCTGTTCTATTGCTTTTGCACAGTAAAACAAGTCATTGAGTTCTGTTTGACAAATGTTTTTGCACTAAATACCCCATTACATAATTTTTTACTTTATCCAAGAAGTGTGGTGAAAGTTTGAAGAAAATAGCAAATGGAGAAGATACTAGGACTAAGAGTGTGGTTTTTATAATGAGTTTTCTAAAAACACATGATTTAAAATGACTTTCAGTGTATCAAGGTCACACTATTTTCACTAACAGATTGACACAGGAAAGGCATATACAATGTTATAAGTTCAAAGGAAAGAGTGACCTACTCTTATTTTCAAGTTTAACAGTTTATTCGCCATGGGGTTGATTCCGACCCGAGTTAAGTGCAAGTAAATGGAACTTAATTCCCTTTTTATGCACTTTTCTCTCTAGGCGTATTCTGACCTTGAACTTAAACATGAGAATAGCATGCCATTTACCCGCTATTTGTTTGGGGTGGAGATCGAATAAATTGTATTTACATTTACATTTTAGTCATTTAGCAGACGACTTACAGTTAGTGAGTGCATAAAATTTTTTCTGACCTTGACTTAATTCCCTATTAATTCCAACACCTTTACGTGCAAAGAAACCATGAATAAGGTCTAGCGAACTTACCGGTTCCAAGTGGAAAAAGCATCAACTTAATTTTTTATAGATTGAAATAACACCATTCTCCATGCACTGTAATTTACAACTTAATGAGAGCTATTGATAAGAGCTAGGTAAATGAGTAATCCGTTTGGATAAGGGAATTGTAAATATACATTGTTTTAGATCTATTTTACCTTATAATCACTACAGACGAACGTGAAACCAGTCAAATGGCAGCATTTCATAAACAGTAAAGTTTATGAAATGCTGTGTCATTATGCAGAATTTAACTTGTATTTCCTTTTTACTTGCAGGGATGGGCACTCTCGAATGTCTTAATTATAGGCTACCCCGACTTTCTCTGTTTCCTATTTCTATCAAGGTAAATATTAGCCACTATCAGTATCGACCATCAGTAAGCCTAATAACCACACATTTTCAACTACCAATTTACTGTTAGTTCCCTTCAGTTGGTATAGCCTACATTATCATTCCATTTAATTACATTGTTTTGTTTACCTGCATTTGCTTACCTCTGTAAACGCTGCCAAGGCCGTGTGGTTGTTGCTGAGGATTATTAGTAACAGTTGATAATATATATGAACAAAAAGAAGACATGTAGGCTAATTCAATCTTTATGGAGCGTAGCGCAGACCAACCCGTAACAGTTTGAACCTGACGCATGGTGCAATACTTGGCCGTGTCATCACACAGTTCCATGGTTACTGCAGGCAATAGACGAGGGTATAGCCTACTATTGTACACTATTCTCCCTATTATAGTTCTACAGTGCCTTCAGAAAGTCCTGTATTCACACCCCTTGACTTTTTCCACATCGTTTTGTTACAAAGTGGGATTAAAATTGATTTAATTGTCAATTTTTGGGTCAACGAGCTACACAAAATACTCTAATGTCAAAGTGGAAGAAAAACTAACATTTGTCAAAACAAATATGAAAAATAAAACACTAATATATCTTGATTAGATAAAGACTCAATCCCCTGAGTCAATACATGTTAGAATCACCGTTGGCAGCGATTACAGCTGTGAGTCTTTCTGGGTAAGTCTCTAAGAGCTTTCCACACCTGGATAGTGCAACATTTGCCCATTACTCTTTTCTAAATTCTTCAAGCTCTGTCAAATTGGTTGTTGATCATTCCTAAACAACAATGTTCAGGTCTTGCCATGGACTTTCAAGCAGATTTAAGTCAAAACTGTAACTCAGCCACTCAGGAACATTCACTGACTTCTTGGTAAGCAGTGTGCTACCAGAACAACAACCTCTCCCTCAACATCAGCAAGACAAAGGAGCTGATCGTGGACTACATGAAAACGGAGGGCCGAGCACAACCCCATTCACATCGACGGCTGTAGTGGAGACGGTTGAGAGCTTCAAGTTTATCTGTGTTCACATCACTAAGGACCTATCATGGTTTCAAACACACCAGCACAGTCATGAAGAGGGCACGACAACGCCTCTTCCCCTCAGGAGGCTGAAAAGATTTGGCATGGGCCCTCAGATTCTCAAAAAGGTTTACAGCTGCACCATTGAGAGCATCTTGACTGGCTGTATCACTACTTGGTATGGCATCTGCTCGTCATCCGACTGCAAGGCGCTACAGAGAGTAGTGTGTACGGCCCAGTACATCACTGGGGCTGAGCTCCCTGCCATCCAGGACCTCTATACCAGGCGGTGTCAGAGGAAGGCCCTAAAAATTGTCAAAGACTCCAGCCATGCAAGTCACAGTCTGTTCTCTCTGCTACCACACGGCAAGCGGTACCGGAGCGCCAAGTCTGGGACCAAAAGGCTCCTGAACAGCTTCTACACCAAAGCTATAATACTGCTGAACAGTTAATTAAACGGCTACCCGGACCTTCTGCTTTCCACCCTCTACCTACATGTCCATATTACCTCAATCAATCACCCAAACTACCTCGTACCCCAGTACACTGACTCGGTACCGGTACTCCTTGTATATAGCCTGTATATAGCCTCTATATTGTTATTTATTGTGTTATTTTATTGTGCTACTATTTTAATTTGATCTATTTGTACAGTTGAAGTCGGAAGTTTACATACACTTAGGTTGGAGTCATTAAAACTCGTTTTTCAACCACTCCACAAATTTCTTGTTAACACACTATAGTTTTGGCAAGTCGGTTAGGACATCTACTTTGTGCATGACACAAGTAATTTTTCCAACAATTGTTTACAGGCAGATTATTTCACTTATAATTCACTGTATCACAATTCCAGTGGGTCAGAAGTTTACATACACTAAGTTGACTGTGCCTTTAAACAGCTTGGAAAGTTCCAGGAAATGATGTCATGGCTTTAGAAGCTTCTGATAGGCTAATTGACATCATTTGAGTAAATTGTAGGTGTACCTGTGGATGTATTTCAAGGCCTACCTTCAAACTCAGTGCCTCTTTGCTTGACATCATGGGAAAATCAAAAGAAATCAGCCAAGACCTCAGAAAAAACATTGTAGACCTCCACAAGTCTGATTCATCCTTGGGAGCAATTTCCAAATGCCTGAAGGTACCACGTTCATCTGTACAATCAATAGTACGCAAGTATAAACACCATGGGACCACGCAGCCGTCATACTGCTCAGGAAGGAGCCGCGTTCTGTCTCCTAGAGATGAACGTACTTTGGTGCGAAAAGTGCAAATCAATCCCAGAACAACAGCAAAGGACCGTGAAGATGCTGGAGGAAACAGGTACAAAAGTATCTATATCCACAGTAAAACAAGTCCTATATCGACATAACCTGAAAGGCCGCTCAGCAAGGAAGACGCCACTGCTCCAAAACCGCCATAAAAAAGCCAGACTACGGTTTGCAACTGCACATGGGGACAAATATCATACTGGTCTGATGAAACAAAAATATAACTGTTTGGCCATAATGACCATCGTTATGTTTGGAGGAAAAAGGGGGCAGCTTGCAAGCCAAAGAACACCATCCCAACCGTGAAGCACGGGGGTGGCAGCATCATGCTGTGAGGGTGCTTTGCTGCAGGAGGGACTGGTAAACTTCACAAAGTAGATGGCATCATGAGGAAGGAAAATGATGTGGATATATTGAAGCAACATCTCAAGACATCAGTCAGGAAGTTAAAGCTTGGTCGCAAATGGGTCTTCCAAATGGACAAAGACCCCAAGCATACTTCCAAAGTTGTGGCAAAATGGCTTAAGGACAACAAAGTCAAGGTATTGGAATGGCCGTCACAAAGCCCTGACCTCAATCCTATAGAAGATTTGTGGGCAGAACTGAAAAAGCGTGTGCGAGCAAGGAGGCCTACAAACCTGACTCAGTTACACCAGCTCTGTCAGGAGGAATGGGCCAAAATTCACCCAACCTATTGTGGGAAGCTTGTGGAAGGCTACCCGAAACGTTTGACCCAAGTTAAACAATTTAAAGGCAATGCTACCAAATACTAATTGACCCAATGGGAATGTGATGAAAGAAATAAAAGCTGAAATGAATCATTCTCTCTACTATTATTCTGACATTTCACATTCTTAAAATAAAGTGTTGATCCTAACTGACCTAAGACAGGGAATGTTTACAAGGATTAAATGTCAGGAATTGTGAAAAACTGAGTTTACATGTATTTGGCTAAGGTGTACAGTGAGGGAAAAAAGTATTTGATCCCCTGCTGATTTTGTACGTTTGCCCACTGACAAAGAAATTATCAGTCTATAATTTTAATGGTAGGTTTATTTGAACAGTGAGAGACAGAATAACAACAAAAAAATCCATAAAAACGCATGTCAAAATATTTTATAAATTAATTTGCATTTTAATGAGGGAAATAAGTATTTGACCCCCTCTCAGTCAGAAAGATTTCTGGCTCCC